TGTAGTACAAGTACGAACCTTACTGTAGTACAAGTACGAACGTTACTATAGTAGAGCTAATGTCTAGTCCCAGTGTGTTAGTGAGTCCGTCTGATCCAGACTCATTTATTTCAGCAGAAATACGACTTCAGAATTACCAGTACAGTATTTCTCCAGACTGGGATTGTTCGGAGATCTATCTACAACAGGTAAGATATTACCTGTTCATAACGTTTACAGAGAACCCTGCTTTGAAAAGGCTGGAGTCTCATTTGAAGCTGTCCTGATGTCTAACTGGACCGTGCTGGTCGTCCGTCCTCAGGACCGAGTTGTCTCATCAAGTGGAATCTAAGATGGACTCTGTCTGATCCAGACAGGAACTGACCCGTTTTAAACGCTGCAGCCAAACTGTTGACATGCCTGTTACATCACTTCCTGTCTAACCTCCACTGCTTCCTCCTCCTCCACAAAGAGGGACCTCCATACGACCTTTCACCTTTGAGCACTGGTAGGAAAGCAGAAAGGAATGATGGGAAACGTAGTTCACAGTGCAGGTGAGCACTGGCTGTGTGTGTAGGTGTGTGTATGTGTGTGTTTCACACCTCTCCCTGAGTTCCTCTCCTCCAAGCTTCAGAGAAGATGGAGCTGACCACACTCTGGGAGCGGGCGTGTCCTGATGATGTCATCTCTGAGACGCCGCTGTCTGACTGGCTGGAGTGGTTGGACTGTGATTCTGTGAGCACCAGGAGCAGATTGTGGGTTAAACATGGCCGCCGTGGCTGAACAGTTCTGGTTTAATCAGAGGTGAAGCTGGTGGACCGACCTGGGAGGCTGGAGGAGCTGGAGCCGGACTTGATGGAGGAGGAGGAGAGGGAGGACCAGTCGTAGGCGGCCTCCGACCTCCTCGTGGCCTCCTGGAAGTTGACATAGAGCTGCTTCCCGTACTGATGGACAGGAAGACAGAAGTTTAGAGACGAGCGTCGATGAGATGAAGCCACTTCTCCCCAAACTTACACCGTTATTAATAAACATGAATGAGCATGCATCAGGAGATTGATAAACAGACAATATTAAAATAAACGTTGGGACAAGTTGAGATTAAATATCTGCCGATAAGAATTAAATTATGTTAACGAAGCGCCTCGTATTAATATTTACAGTATTAGTTGTAGTATTTGTGTTACTGGTAGCTACTTTCAGAGAGTATCAATAAGGAGTCCAACAAACATCACGCTGATGAAGCGGTGCTGAAGAGTGAAGGTTTTCATGATCTAAAACTGATGAACCCTGGATGAGACGTGGTGCATCATGGGAACTGAGACACGGTACCTTTGCGATGCGAATGCTGTTGGTCCACTGTTGGAGGGCTCTGATGTCATCACAGCACAGGTACTTTATGTACTGAGACTTCTTCTGGATCTGAGGATGCTACACACACACACGCACGTACACGCACACACGCGCACACACACACACACACACACACACACACACACAGAGGTCTTTGTCTAGTCAGGAGCAGCGAACCTGTTCCCATTAAACCCACTCACAGAAGTTAAAGTTTTACACAACATCTTTTCTTCTGGGCTACAAACATGAGATACATTTATTTAACAGGAGACCGTTCCAGTGTGAGAAACGTTGCAGCTTCCTGAAACCACATCATGAAATCATCCGGTGGAGAAGGAGCAGGTATGTTTTTTCCCTCACATGCTGTCATCTCCTGACAAAGTCATGAAAGTGTCAAGTCTGAGCATCGAAGAAGAAAGGGGCGGGGTTAAAGCCACATAAACTTTCCAATATTTAGACCAGTCAGATAATTTTACATTTTCATATCCACCTAACTCCTGGGGGCGCTGCTGTATCAATGATTCTGGTACAACTTCCTGTCAGACAGGAAGTAGCAGTCAGCACTGGTTAACCATGATAGTGGAGCACGGACCGCGGTTTATTTAAAAGTAATTTACATTAGTTTAACAGACAAAACTCTGTTTTTGTTTTGTTCACATTTATTTAACAACTATATATTTGACTAAAGTAGCCGTGCTGCGTTCAGGTACCTGTTGTGTTCAGGGCTGCAGAACAACCAGACCAAACTAAATCAGTGGCTCCAACAACAGAGTCTGAACACAGACCAAAACTAAAAGAGTTCCTGTGAAAAGAGGTTTAGTTCCATCTCCCACCTACAGATGAGGAATTAAGAAGAACGTGGCTGAAAAATGTGAACTTGAAGAGAACACCCAAAAGCATCGGGGCGAACGCGTCCCCACGAAGACAGAAGGGAAGGAAAAGGAACTGAAACACGTTCAAGAAGCTCTTCAAACATGTGGATATCCTAACTGGGCTTTTGTCAAGTCAGAGAGGAAATCTACAAAACACACCAATAAACAGAAAAAGGAGAACAACAGACGTAAAAACATTGTCATCCCTTTTGTTGCTGGAGTATCAGAGAAATTCAGAAGGATCTTCAACAAACACAAGATCCCAGTACATTTCAAACCCAGCAGGACTCTCAGACAGAGGCTGGTCCACCCTAAGGACAAGACACCCATACACAAACAGAGTGGTGTAGTGTCTGTGGTCCAGTGCAGCGAGGACTGTCCAGACCTCTACATTGGAGAAACTAAACAGCCTCTTCACAGACGCATGACTCAACACAGGAGAGCCACCTCCTCTGGACAAGACTCAGCTGTTCACCTCCACCTCACAGATAAGGGACACTCTTTGAGGACCAACATGTGCACATTTTGGACCGAGAACACAGATGGTTTGAGAGGGGGGTGAAGGAAGCAATTTATGTAAAAAGAGAAAAGCCGTCTCTTAACAGAGGAGGAGGCCTCAGATTTCCACTTTCAAAAACATATAATGCAACTTTAAAACAGATTCCCAGCCGGTTTTCACACCTGATGGGAACAGAGGGGCCTCGTCTGTGAATTAGAGGAACAAAAGACTCTTACTGTGTTTAGGTGTGAACTGCCAATCTACATGTGTGTGTGTCTTATCTCACTCAGCCTTATAACCTGAATCTCTCACTCTCTGCTCTTTGAATTGAGAAAGCTGCTCGGATGAGAAGCGAAACGTCTTATGTTACAAATAAAGTCCAGTTGTTTTTGTCTTGAACGTTTTTTGAATTCATCATGTCCTGGATGACTGAGAATCTTCACCAGCCAAAACTCTGCATGTGAGCTCATTTCACTTTGTTGACAAACGGCCGACAGAGGAAAACCTGCATCCTACTTTGTGTCTGGACGACAATAAACCACCGGAGAAGAGACGCCGGATCCTCAGAAGGATTGAAAACAGTGACGAGACCATCAGGGATGATTTCAGGTGTATGGAGGTCACAGCTTTATATTATTCGTTCATCTTCAGTTTTATGATTTTCTCTGTAATTAACCCAAGATCAGTGAAGGAGGACTTTAAGACTTTGGCTCTGTGTCTGATTTAAGGTCAAGAACATTGTGTCCCAACTCTTTTTACAAAACGACCTTATTACTGTGGAGACACTGATGCACCTCAGAGATTTACAGGTTGTTCATCGCTTCACTGTCAGAAGAACCGAGTCAACGATGTAGCTAAATATGCTAGTAGATGTAATCTGCAGCCACTTCTTCAGCTCGTCCTCAGCAGCAGAGCTTTGACAGGTGGTGTTCCTACATGTTTAAATTAAATCCACGATGCTCAGAGACACTACATTAGCTCGTACTGTTCACACAGAAACAAACGGTTCTGGTCCACGCCAGAAGTCACGCCCATAATTCAAACAAGGCACCATGGGGGCGAGGAATAAGATGGACAGTTAGCTAGTCAGTTTGTGACCACCAGGTGGCAGCAGTCCTGTCTCACCTTCAGCACCATGCAGTAGTCTGTTGGAGCCTTGTACTTGCTCTTGTAGTCTTGACCCAGGTAGACATTCACATGGTCCAGCTGGAGGAAACACACCAGGTCTCTGGAGGCCTGCACAACAAACACACTGGGTTTAGGCCCGTCTGATGGCAGTTCTGCTCTCCTCAGATTCTTATCACCACACACCTTGGCCTTGCCCTTGGGGACGTAGTAGATACCGGACGCCCTCAGCAGGAAGTAGCGCTTCTTCCAGGACTTCTTGCCATCCTCCTTCAACCACAGGACTCCCTCCATCTCGGGGACGGACACGGAGCTGCCTCCGAAACACTCCTGACACACAAGAGGCTCAGATTTGTCTTTGGTTCAAGGGTTTGTGATTAAACATGAAGTCTGAGGAAGATCCAACAAACGAACCTCTAACAGAGCTTCTTTGTTCCTCTCAGCCATTTCACACGTCTCCTTCCGCCCCAGTAAATAGTTCTGCAGCAGACAGGTGGGAAAAAAGAGCATTTTCTACATTCATACCTGCAAACTCACAAGGGATGAAAAAGGTGACCAACCTAGTGCCTGTAGAGTGTGTGTGTGTGGGGGGGTGTCATCCAGGGGGTTATGTGTCTCCAAAAGATTTTGTGATTTTTAACATGTAAATTAAGCATTCTGGTACATTCCAAGAATAAAATTAATGGAAAAGACAACATGCTTCAGATAAAAGAAGACATTTACTAACATGTCCTAATTTAATTAGGACATGCATAAGAAAGATGGCGTCAACCAAAAACAAACAAACAAATAAATAAACAACAACAACAGCAGCAAGCCAACCAGAGAATCTAAATATAGCAGCGCTTTTTGCTAATAGCAAAAACTAATTTCTTAAATATGTAGTACTGAGCTAGCAGCGCGCAATACAGACCGCTGGCCAAGATGCTACAGACGTAACGTTCCGCTTCTCTTCCACCCCCCACTGGTCGACAACTGCCGGCACTCACTTGGTGCTAAGCTAGCACTACCTAAGTGTGCTAGCTTAGAGCTTAGGAGCTAGTGCGAGCTTTATTGTGAGCATAGGCTGCAAGATAGACTGCGTGACTTGTGTAGCGATATCTTAGCGCTACACAAGTCCAGTTAGTTGGAAATTATGCCATCTACTGTGCCTCTGACCCCCCTCACAAAAAAAACCAACTGTTTGGATCTAGATTCACGTAAATGACATGTTTTTGATTGAAATAGGCAAATTTTGCCAAAAAGTGACAAGTTTGCAGGTATGTACTTTAAATAGAACCTTAAGAAATCGTTTTTTCCTGTTATTTTCTGAATTCAATATTTATTTTGGAACAACAACATTATTAATAATTTTATCATTTTTGTAGTGATGTTTTACAGTTTGTACCATCATCAGTCATAGAAAGTTATTTTCCTCTTCACTCGTTGCTCTTCGACCGATGTCAAGGTTGATAACTATTAGGGGTTGAACGAGTATATAATTTTTAAACTCGACATTAACATAATGAAACCCGAGTAGAACTTGAGTATTTGATGAGGTCATAGATCTCAAGATACAAAAATAAATAAATAAATAAAACCGCAAAAAAAGTAATTATTTACAAAAAAAAGACCAACAAAACATTGGGAGCGTATATTATGCTCCTCCCATTTATCATAGTGCAAATAAGTCACAGGAAAAACTAAACTATTAGTTTTTATTATTAAACTGCAAACGTGAAGAAACGCAGCACGTCAAAAACGAAACAAACCGAAACTGGTTCTGGTTCGGTGGATTGGACCCGGTGTTACACCATACTCTGTGATCTGCAACAGTGCAACACCGCCCCCTACGGTCATACGGTGGTCACGTAATATGACGTCACTACGGATACTCAACGTTACATTTTTAACCTCGATAGATGTTCTAGCAATCGATGTGTAGATTACTCTGTTAATGCACTAATAACTATTGATAACTATTTGACAGAATATCCCATTGAACATGAGCAGACTATCTTTTCAGGTGTGCACGTGTGTCTCACCTGAGGGTTTTTGAACAGAGCGTACTTCTCTATGCGCTCAGTGAACATGAGACGGTTCTGGCTGTCTCTGGTCCAGTTCAGAAGGTTCTCCACCAGGTTCTCGTGATCCTCAAAGATTCGCTCTGCAGATGGAGAAATTTGATTAGAAGCGATTTAATCCCAAAATTTTGTGCCTGAAAATAATAAAATAGTTTTGAATGTGACAAGGACCAGGTCCCATGGCTCTGTAAAAGATCTGAACCCTGAGCTGTGTCTGGTAACACCAAACATCTGCTGATCAAAAGTACTGATGAACTGAGCCTCATCAGGGGGACCTCCTCTATCTGGAGCAGACAGATGTGTGGAGGATCCACTGTTGCCATTGTGGTTTCTCAGGATGGCAGACTGTGACGAAGTGAAGATTCAATGTCTGCTGCTTCCTTAGAAGGAGAACTTTACTCACTGGCTTTGCTATGTATGGTCTCACTTGTAAATGAGTCTTCTAGGCTCAATGTGTCTTATTTGTCTAAATAAAGGTTGAATGAATGTGAATGTTTCTGTTCAGTGCCCAGAGACAACTTTGTTGTGAATTGGCGCTGTTTAAATAAACTGAATTAAATTGAATTGAAAGCATGGCCCTAAAGAAGAACCATGATGTTCTGGTACCCTCGGCACCAGAAAATCATCAAACTGTCGAACGGATCTGCAGGAATTGCGACCCAGACCAAACAGAGCATGTTGATAGAACTTCATGATTCATGCAGATTCAGAAGACAAGACAATCAGCCTCCAGAGGCTCTCTTGATCCTGATTCCTGTTTTGAGTATTCTACATCGCCTTACAACCTAGATGTTTTCTCCTTTGTAAAGGAGTCCCAGAGGCTCCGTGGGATTAACCTGTCTAAATAAAGGTCGAATGAATCAGTGACCCCAGAGCCACACACAGACCCGCCTTCATGACCTTCGTCCGCCTGAACAGAACAGAAGGTCTGATCTAGCAGTCAGCATAAAACATTCTCATTCACAAGTAGTCAGAATACCTTTGGATTCTGTTTGGGAATTTTGGGTCAAAGGTTATGGATATTTTCATTAATATGGCAGAGAATGTTGGCTCTGCCCATGAACCATATGTTTGGGTCAACAGAGAGAGCTGGGTGAGGCTGCAACGTGCAGCTATCACTTCAAGGACATCTCCGAGTATGTGAGCTTGGTTGAACTGATAAGTATAAAAACAAACTTCACAGACCGCTCGCGGCAGATTCTTGTGATTGATTGTCACGTGTGTACTTTATGCATATTTATGTAACTTGCCCTGAAAATATGACCTTGCAAAAAAACACCGGTTAAAAATCTGCTGTCAAGTTTGGTTCCTTTTTGAGTAAGTAAGATAAAGTGAAAATGTTTTTCTCCAACATTTTGGTCCTTTGATTGCCGGCTCCAACATCTGACCTGGGAACACCAGGCTTGGACTGAAATCCATGCACAGAGGAGTTTTGATCTCCTGAACGGAAAGTCCTCCGGCTGAGTTGCAGATTTCACTGAGGCCAGGTCTGCTGGTGAGTCGAGGGAGGTGATGGAAATCCGAACGGAGATGAGCCACATACACAGAGGGCACGGAGCTGATTTTATTCAACATGTTGTACGGAAATCACAAAAGGACTTTCAATAAGGAACAGTCAAGAAGGGACTTGCAGTAGTGAAGTCACGAAGGGACTTTCTATAAGGAGCAGTCAAAGAGACTAGCAGTAGTGACGTCAGGAAGGGACTTTCAATAGGGAGCACTAAGGGACTTGCAGTAGTGAATCAGAAAAGGACTTTCAATAAGGAGTAGTCATAAAGGGACTAGCA